TAGATATAGGACAGATGTCAGAGGTAGGTTCTTTACTCAGAGAGTAGTAAGGGCGTGGAATGCCCTGCCTGCAAAAGTAGTAGACTCGCCAACTTTAAGGGCATTTAAATGGTCATTGGATAAACATATGGATGATAATGGAATAGTGTAGGTTAGATGGGCTTCAGATTGGTTTCACAGGTCGGCGCAACATCGAGGGCCGAAGGGCCTGTACTCCGCTGTAATGTTCTATGTTCTATGTTCTAAATGTACTATTGGAATATAAATACCATATAAAGTACTTTATATGCAATATAGGTGCAGGAAAATATTACATATGAACATGTGAATTAGGAGCAGAAATAGATCATTTGGCACCTCAAACCTATTCCCCATTCAACAAGATCACGGCTGAACTGCTTGTTTTTCAAATCCCATATTTCCATTTCCCCCCAAACATCTTTAGTTTTCCTGCCTAACAAGAATCTATCTACCATCCCTTAAAAATATTCAATGACCCCCAACTCCACCACCTTCTAAGCAGACAATTCCAAAGCCATATAACCCTCGAGAAGGACTGTTTTTTTTTGTTTTAAAAATTGTGGACTAAAATGAGAAAAAAACTTTTAAAATCAGAAGATAGTAAGAACTGCAGATGCTGGATTCAGAGATAACACATATGGAGCTGTAGGAACACAGCAGGCCAGGCTGCGGAGGAGCAGGAAAATATTATTTCTGCAGAAGGGTCCCGACCTGAAACGTCAGCTTTCCTGCTCCTTTGATGCTGCCCGGCCTACTGTGTTCCTCCACTCCATACTATTTTAAAATCAATATTTCGAAAGGCTAGCTGCATGTTTTGAAAAGCAAGTAACCTGACACCCATGACAAGCATCATAAATAACTGAACAAACAGTAATTGAAGTGCTTGCAGATGAACAGGAACTGAGGGGTTATGTATGGATGTAACTACCTGGTAAGAAGATGTTGATTGGTCTATGAACTGGTGACCAGTTGTCAATGACAAGGATTTTTTGCCTGCCAACAACAGTGTGGTTTGTGGCAAGTCACTGAACAGCTTGGAGCTGGGAACAAGTTTCAGAGCAGGGATTTGATCTCCACCAACTCAGAAGTAGCTTCTCTGTTCTCCACAGTCAAAACTCAATTTAAACCTGAAGAAAAAACGGTTATACTTTCCTTCAGAAGTTGTTGTAGGCTGTGACATTTAATTGATCAATCAGATGGATTTTACAAGTGAACCACCTGCTCTATGCCTCTTGCAAACCTGTGGAAGCACCTAGGAAAGTGAAGCCAAGAAGAAACTTTCAGATCAGTAAGAGTCAATTCAACATAATTTGTGGATAAAGACTACTGAGCTGTTTTTCCGGTTTTTCCTCTCTGCCCATGTGTTTTTCTTTCTGTCTGTGTGTAAAGGGGAGTTTATAAGGAGAATGGAGTTTTAATTTATAGCATTGTGTGCTGATAGTGTATAACTGTTTATCTATAGATATTTACTTGCAACAATAGTAATTTGTGTTCAGTGCAATAACCTGATCTCTGTCAACCTAGGTATGAAAATCAAGTAAACTGGGAATATTGTGTACTTATTTTTTTTAAAAAATTAACTTTTGTGACAAATTCTGGCATGGTCAGGCTTGATTTCCAGCATACTACCCTGGTAAGTCTAAAACACCTATGAGAGAAAAAAAAATCTCCTGCTCTTTGCCCTAAAAGGGTGACCACTAATTTTTAAACAATGGCCCCAGTTTTGCATTTGTCCACAAGATTAAACATCCCTTCCATGTTCACTTTGACAATACCATTCAGGATCTTATATACTTCAATCATGTCACCCCTCACTCATCAAAACACCAGTGGAAACAAGCCCAGTCTCTCCAGCCTTTCCTCACTAGATAATCCACTCATTCCAGGTATCAATCTAGTAAACCAGTTCTGACCTGCCTCCAATGCATTTGCATCCTCCCTTAAATAAGGCGAGCAAAACTGCTCATAGTATTTGAGATATGGTCTCAGCAGTGTCTTGTATAACTGAAGCATAACAATCTTCACTTTAATGTTCAGTTCCTCAACAATAAAGAATACCACTGCATTAGCCTTCTTAATTACTGGCTGTACCTGTATACCAACATTTAATGACATCTGTGTCAGATATTCACAAAACAGTATGAGAGGTAATGGCCTAGTGGTATTTTTGCTGGAGAGTTAATCCAGTGACCCAGATAATGTTTTGAAGACTTGGGTTTAAATCACACCAAGGCAGATGGTGGTATTTGAATTCAATAAAAAAAAATCTGAATTAAGAGTATAATGATGACCATAAATCAATTATTGATTGTCGAAAAAACCCATCTGACTCACTGATGTCCTTTAGGAAAGGAAACTGCCATCCTTACCTTGTCTGGTCTACATGTGATTCCAGACCCACAGCAATGTGGTTGATTCTTAGCTGCCCTCTGGGCAATTAGGGATGGGCATTAAATGCTGGCCTAGTCAGTGATGCCCTCATCTTGAGAATGAATAAAAAAAAGTAAGATGAGTGTTGGTCATCTTGTGAATGGGAAGTTAATAGTAGCTAATAAGGAAATGGTGGATGAAACAAACAAATATTTTGTTTCTGTTTTCACTGTAGATGATTCAAAAATACATTCCAATTATAGCTGTAAATTAGGAAGTGGAGGAGATAGAGAAACATGGTTAAATTATAATAACTAGGGAAGTTGTACCAAATAGGGTATTGGAGATGCAGGTTGACAAGTCCTCAGGCTCAGATGGACTACATCCCAGCTCTTTTTTAAGAAGGTATTAATGGGGTAGTAACTGCATTGGTGTTCATTTTTCCAAACTTGCTAAATCCCGGAAAGCATCAGGCTGGAAAGTTACAGCTTAACTCTTCATATCATCTGGGATACAAATAGTGTAAAAGGAGCGCAGGACACAAAATGATTAACCTGCATTCAAAAGAACCTTTTTAGCCACACATTTTAGTCCAACAAGAGAGGGTGCAATTCTAGAAGGAAAGTCCTCCATGATAACCTCAGCTAGTAGCAGGAAATGAACCCATGCTGTTGGCATCACAAACCAGCTATCCAGCCAATTGATAAACAACCCAGAACACAAAGTTAGCATGCAGGTCCATCACAAACCAGCTATCCAACCAATTGATAAACAACCCAGAACACAAAGTTAGCATGCAGGTCCATCAAAACATTGGAGAGGCAAATGCCTTTATTATAAGGAGGTTAGAGTACAAAAATAAGAAAATTTTGCTCCAACTGTACACAGCTTTAATGAAACCTGGTGTACTAGGTTTAGTTCAGGTCCCCACATTTACAGAAGGAAATATTTGCATTGGAAACAATTAAATCACTCCACAAGCTGACTGATAGTCCTAATTCAATCTGGAAAACAATATTTAGATACCAGTAATTTCTCCAGTTGACTAAAGCTTGGCATATATTTAGATTAGTTACAGGTTCATGGTTTTTAATGGATATGGTCCACAACTCTCATTTTAATGTTATTGTCTCACTGCTTGGAAGTTATGAGACAAGCTATCATTTACAATTGAACCACAATATTGTTGTGGTGAAAACACTGTCAGCAAGTTAACTTGTTTCACACATTTCCTGGATATTACTGTTCAGTGTTTAATGAACAGAAATTAAACATTTCTGTTTTTATATGGTTTTTGATATTGTAGTTCAGCTATTTATGTGCTACTATTACTCTTTAAATTTGCTAAAGTAGTTGATTATGTAATTGGTTCTTGTAGAAGTATCCAATTCTACTTTTAATTAATTAATTAAAAGCTCTCATTAAGAATGAGATTGAGGGTTTAAGGGCAAAACATGATCAGTTCTAGCATGAATTTAAATTTAATGTACTTCTGAAACATTATATCTCAGAATACAGCTAATCAGAATTTTAAGAAGGAATTTTAGTCTTGGGAGTCATCCAACGGGTTTTCAAAATTTATGAAAGTTTATGATGGTAAATATTGAAAAAATATTTCTACTAGTCAGTGAATTGTAACAAGGAAGAAAGGAAGAAAATTGCATTTCTAAAGGAGTTGAGAGTGCTTCAAAGTACTTCACAGTTGATGAATTAGTTATGTGGTTTTTACATCACAACAATTGACACTTCAACTGTTGTAATGTAAAAAACACAACTAATTTATGGTATTGCAGAAATGTGAGTAACTGATGGTTTTTGGCTAATACCATGAGATTTTTTACAATCCAATTGAAAGAACAAATACGGCACTGATTTAACATGATGTGGAGGCGCTGTTGCTGCACTGGTGTGGACCAGGTCAAAAATCACACAACTCCAGGTTATAGTCCAACAGATTTATTTGAAGACACAAAGAAGAAGTGAGGCTCCAAAAGCTTGTGTCTTCAAATAAACCTGTTGGACAATGGCCTGCTGTGTGATTTTTGACCTGATTTAACATCATACCTGAAACTTGGTACGTCTGACTTTGCACCAATTGCCCATTACCACACTGAAGTATTGGTCTTTTGACACTTCCTTTGACTACGATCACTCAAGCTCTCCAAAGAAGATTTGCTCAGTTGTGATTTGTTGTGTGTGTTTGGCTAAGCATTTCTTTGTCTGGTGTTTTGTTCTGCCATCTGATCTTCAGAAACTTACCAAGTCAACCAAAATCAAAATGGTTGATGTTTCATTATTAATGTAGTTGACCTCAGACAGATTTTGAGTAAATTCTGAAGAAACAAGTTGTTGGTAACATAGTCCGAATCTTACATTTGTAGAGTGGGCAAGACTATTATTTCTTGAGATGTTGTTTGGTAGGCAGACTCACTCTTCATTCACAGACTCATGTTCAAAGTCTGCTGAAGGCTGTACTTGTTTGATAGTTCTTGTATTTGAGCACATCTTATAGACCACTTGAGAGTGTATGTGGCTGAGATAAATTAACTTGTCCACTGCTGATTGGTACTGGTGATGGAAGAAGCATGGGTACTCAAGACAGGGCTTACCTGGAGCAGGCTGGTGCATTTCTTCAGTTTTTTTGTGCTGATTGTAAGGGCAAAGTTGTTGCTTGCATTGAAGAACAAGGTCATGTTATGTTTCAAGTCCAACTCTGAACAAGTAACCGTTGTATAATTCATTGGCAAATAGGAAATCACAAATGATACCTTTTGAAGTCCTTGGTCTTTGCCTGGTTTGCGGCTGTGGTTTCAGTGCCAGGATCATAATTATGAAGAGCATCGGAGATCACGGCAGAGAAAAATATGCTGAAGAAGATTGGCAGACACAGCCTGCTTAACTGTATTAGTAACTGGGAATAAGTTGGAAAACTTACCATCATCCAGGGCATAATCAAACATGCCACAATGGAATGTTAAACCATTGAGATGAACTGTTGGTGGCATGATGGCAGTGTTTAGCAGCGCTGCCTCACAGCACCAGGGACCTGGGTTTGATTCCAGCACTGGGTGACTGTGTGAAATTTGCACATTCTCCCTGTGTCTGCATAGGTTTCCTCTGGGTGCTCCGGTTTCCTCCCACAGTTGAAAGATGTGCAGTTTAGGTGGATTGGCTATGCTAAGTTATCCCATTGTGTCCAGGGATGTGGCAGCTGGCTGGGTTAGCCACGGTAAATACAGGGTTATGGGGATAGGGTGGGATGCTCTTTGGAGGGTCAGTGCAGACATGATGGACCGAGTGGCCTCTTTCTGCACTGTAGGAATTCCAAGATTCAATAAAGTTGAGCATGTTGTTCTGTGATCAGAGGCTCTCACATTTAGAGGTATGAGAGGTACTTTAGTTGATGTGTAGGTTAGGCCAATTAGCCATAGCAAATAGGGGGGTAGGTGTGAGTCGGATACTCCTAGGAGGGTCGGTGTGACTTGATGGGCCAAGTGGCCTGCTTCCACACTGTGGGGATTCTATGATTCTATGAAACGTACAAAAGGCTGAAGGATCTCCACAAGCTGCAGTCTCAGGGTGATCATATCGTACTTGGACGAGGATAGTTGTGAATTTTCAGAATTTTTTGGGGTTGAGGCATTTGGTTGAATGTCCATGGTAAATTAGAGGCTGGAGTAGACTATTTTTGATGTCTTGGGGAATCGAAGGAGTGACGTTGAGACAGAAGATCGCCTACGGCCATACTTCTCAGGGCGCCACAACTGTAGGGATTCTATGACTATATACTGAAAGGCGACCCAGGCTTGACGGGCTGAATGGTATACTCCTGTTCCATTATATTTATAACTTCTGATGCATAACGGAGACTGAACTGGGAGCTAAACTTGTATGGCTCAGCTCCTTTCGAGTAATCTCGCCGTTGTTCGCGATAGTTTAGAAACAAACTGCACCAGCTCCGAGATTTTTAGCAGAAAAACACAGGGAGACGAGGAATACATTTAATATCTGACTGAAGTGACATGATTCAACTTTACTCTTGTGAGCGAAGAAAAAATTGGAGTCTCGAAAACTGTCGCTAAAGCGTCAGAATCGTAACGCAAACTTGAGTAACCTTAGGGGAAATAAATTGCGGAATCACATGACAAGTCAGTGGGAAGGCCACGGCAGAGTGGGAAGGATTTGTCTCTGTGGTACTATAACAGCAAGTTGTGGAGATCTAACGCCTCATTTGACAAGAAATCAACAATGGGAGGTTGCTGTTCATCAGTTTGTGATTTTATCCTGGAATATGATACTCCCAGGATCGTACTTATTAAAAACAGGAAAGTTGGGATCGTAAATAGGATCGTTCAGCTAGCAATCCTTGCGTACGTTATTGGGTGAGTTACACTGTGATACTTCCGTACTTTTCTATGAGAAGAACAATAAAGAGTGTATGGAATGGGCAGAAATGCTTGGTAGATTCTTCAAAGATTGCGAAATAGAAGGACAAGTTACGTCCACCGGAAGGATATGATATTTGCTATTTTAAAAAACATTTTCTGTGAAGCATCATGACAGTGTCTAGCATGTGGAGAATGTGTTTCTGAGCAGAGTCGAGTTTGGATTTCGGCTGTGCGAAAAATAATGCGCCAACACTGATGAAGTGTGAACCAATGTAAGAATAATGTTTGATGAGCGAGTTTCACTCCCATCTAAATATTTTATGTAATAGGGATTCAATCTCTGCCCCCTCCTTTTCCGTTATTCCCATTCTGTAAAGATGCATTGCCAGCGATAGATAAAGCTGAGCCCGATCGTTTCCAACCCAATATCGAATAAAGAATATCTTTCAGTGAGCACTGGATAGTCATAACTAGTGGCTGATTAGCTGAGAGAGGTCTGGCTGATTGCTCTTAAGGTATGGAGGAAGACAGGTGGCAAGTCAAAAGACTGTTTCGCGATAGAATCGCAAAACCATAGAAGACAAAAAGAGGCTGGCGCATCATTTCCCTTTCTACTCTTTGAAGCATTTATCCAATTATTTTACCACAGGCCTGCGACGTTTCCCTTTTGCAAGTATTTATCCAGTCCTCTCTTGCGAGTTACTATTGAGTCTGCTTCCAAAATCATTTCAGGCCCGCATTCCAAATCATTATAACTCATTGTTTGAAAACTTATCTCTGGTTATTTTTGCCAATGAACTTAAAAATGTATCTACTTGTTATGAACCCTCTGCCTTTGGAAATAACAAATTATATTTATGTAAATCATTTAACTTGCAAAGCCTCCCAAGATGTTCACTCGAGCATTATAAAAGAAAATGTGACACTGAGCCATGTAAGGGACTATTTAAAATAAATAAAGCATGGCAGCAGTAGTGGATTCATTTAAAATTGGGGATATACAAGCTAGAATTGGGAGAAGACAGATATTTTTAAATTGTAGGGCCAGTAGAAATTACAAAGAAAAGGAGACAAAGCCATGAATTCAAGGATGAGAATTTTAAAATCAAAGTGTTGCCTGACCTGGAACTCAACAAAGTAACTAAGGGGAAACTATCAAAACCCTTCATGTTTTTATCCATTCTTTTTCTTAACCATTTTTATTTCAGTTACGATCCTAATACTGGATGAGTTAGATCTCAGATTGAAATCTTTCTTCATAGATTGTAACGTTTATTTTTGTGGTTTGGTTTCTGTGATTGTCAGCCACTGAACATACTCAGTGAAGGCTCAGGAAAATCCAAAATAGCACTTATTTTACTTCTCTAGGTGCTACTTGGCTTAGTCCCACAGTGTGTGGGGGATGGTTTTCTGGATCAATATTTTGATGAAGCAAGTAGAGAATGGACCACCCTAGACTATGTATTGTATAATGAAAAAGGAATAATTGGCAACCTTGCTGTGTGAAGGTCTTTGGGGAAAAAGATAGAATTCTTCATTAAAGTTCTGAGACTGTTGTCTTGAATCTAAATAAAGGAAATATGATTCCATGAGGTGCAAGCTAGCTATGGTAAATTTGGGAATGTTTCTTAAAGGGATGACAATGGATAGCAGAAGAAAACATTCAAAAAGTGCATGGAGGAACTGCAACAATTGTTCTTTCCTGTTTGATATAAAAACAAAATGGGAAAAGTGGCCTGACCATGGATAATAAGGGAAATCAGAAATAGTATTAGATTCAAAGGAAGGGACATAAAAATTGGCCAAAAAAAAGCATCAGACCTGAGAATTGGGAGCAGTTTAGATTTAAGCAAGAGAGGACAAAGGGATTGATTAAGAGGGGCAAAATAGAATATGAGAGTAAGATTGTAGGAATCTATAAGTGATTATGAAATCTTCTACAGGTGCATGAAGAGAAAAATATTAGTGAAGACCAGTGTAGGTCCCTTACAGCCAGAAACAGTGGCAGATATAATGGGGAACAAAGAGATGGCAGACCAATTAAATACGTACTTCGGTTCTGACTTCACAAAAGAGGATACAGATAACAACCCAAAAGCATTGGGAAACGCTGGATCTCATGAGAGGGAGAAACTGAAGGGAATCAGTATTGGTAGGTAAATGATGTTGTGGAAATTTATTGGATTAAAGGCTGATAAATTCCCAGGACTTGATTAATCTACATCCCAGAGTACTTACGGAAGTGGCCGTAGACGTAGTGGCTGCGTCGGTGGTTATCTTTCAAGATTCTGTAGGTTCTGGAACAGTTCCTTTGGGTTGGAGGGTAGTTAATACGTCCTCGCTATTTCAAAAAAAGGAGGTATAGAGAAAACAGGAAATCATAGACTGGCTGGCCTGACATTAGTAATGGGGAAAATGCAAGAGTCCATTATACAAGATTTAATGGCAGAGCACTTTGAAACAGTGACAGGATTGGACAGAGTCAGTATGGATTTATGAAAGAGAAATCATGCTTGACAAATCTAATGGAAGTTTTTGAGGATGTAACTAGTAGAGTTGATAAGGGGGAGCCAGTGGATATAGTTTACTTGGACTTTCATGATGCTTTCGAAAAGATCCCATTCAAGAGATTAGCATGTAAAACTAAAGTGTATGAGATTGGGGTACTGCACTGACATGGATAAAGAACTGGTTGGCAGTCAGGAAACAAGGTAGGAATAAAACAGGTTTTTTTTCCTGAGTGGCAGGCAATAATTAATGGATCAGGTCCCAGCTATTCACAAGAGATAGTAAGAACTGCTGATGCTGGAGTCAGAGATAACACAATGTGGAGCTGGAGGAACACAGCTAGCCAGGCAGCATCAGAGGAACATCAGAGGAGCAGGAAAGCTGACGAAGAAGGGTCTCAAGCTGAAACGTCAGTTTTTCTGCTCCTCTGATGCTGTCTGGCCTGCTGTGTTCCTCCAGCTCCACTCTATGTTATCAGCTATTCACAACATGTATTAATGAATTAGATGAGGGAGCTAAATTTATTAACTCCAAGTTTGCAGATGACTTGAAGCTGGTGGGAGAGTGAGCTGTGAAGAGGATACAGAGATGCTTATGATTTGGACAAGTTGAGTGAGAGGGCAAATGCATAGCAGATGAAGTATAAAGTGGATAAATGTGAGGTTATCAAAAACAGGAAGGCAGATTTATTACCCGAGTGGCAATAGATTGGGAAAGGAGGTGCAAGAGACATGTCTATCCTTGTACTTCAGTCACTGAGGTAAGCATGCAGGTGCATCATGTAGTGAAGAAGGAAAATAGTTTGGCCTTCATAGCAAGAGGACTCAAATACAGGAGTGGGGATGTCTTACTGCAGTTGTACAGGGCCTTGTGGAGACCGCACATGGAATATTGTGTACAGTTTTGCTCTCTTTATCTGAGGAATGATGCTCTGGCTGTGGAGGGTGCAACAGAGGTTTATCAGTCTGATTTCCAGGATGGTAGGACTGATGTGTGAAGGGAGTTTGGATCTGTTAGGAATATATTTACTGGATTTTTAGAAGAATGAGGGGAAATCTCATAGAAACCTGTAAAATTCCAACGAGATTAGGCAGCATAAATGTAGGAAGAATGTTCCCAATGATGGGGGAGTCCAGAACCAGGGGTCACAATTTAAGGAAATGGGATAGTACCATTTAGAACTGAGGTGAAGAAACATTTCTTCTCTCAAAGAATGGTGAGTTTGTGGAATTCTCTGCCATAGAAAGTGGTTGAGGCCACAAAGCATTGTATGTTTTGAAGAAGGAGTTAGATAATGTTCTTAAGGCTAAAGGGATCAAAGGGATGGGGAGAAAGTGGGAACAAGGTACTGAGATAGATGATCAGCCATGATCATATTGAATGGTAGAGCAAGCTTGAAGGATCGAATGGCTTAATCTTGCTTCTATTTTCTATGTTTCTATGTAAGTCACTTTTGTTGTGGCAAATTCACTTTTAGCCCAATTTATGACCAAATTATCTTTGCAACTGATCAGACAGTTGTTCACGTGTTGTAAATGCTCTTCCTACATTTGGTTGAATACAAACAAATTGACATATGCAACACATCTGCATAATCCTTTGGTTGGTTAATTGTTAAAAGGTTGCTTATGCATTTTGCATTCCAAGCTGCATGACTTGACTTGGCTAAAATTCATCCAGTGTACCATAAGCTGAAACATTCTTTAGCTTTGTCAGTCGGTGGAACTTGCCAATATCCTTATTAACAAGTAATTTTTAAAAAAATAAATTGTGCCTGTCTACTCCTTTCAATAGAATCTTCCAATCATGAACTTGGATAGGAATCTGCTTTTGTAACTGTATTGATTTTGCTAGCCATGATGTGGAGGTGCCAGTATTGGACTAGGGTGGACAAAGTTAGAAGTCACACCTGGTGTTGTGTGACTTCTGACCTTGAGTTTGCTCTAATAGATACATAAGGCTGAATTTTACTAAACATCACCAAAGTATCAGTATTTTTAAAAAATCCCTACAGTGTGGAAACAGGCCATTAGGGCCATCATGTCCACACCGACCCTCTGAAGAGCATCCCACCCAGACCCTACACCCTACCCTTTCCCTGAAACCCTGCATTTCCCATGGCTAATCCACCTAGCCTGCACATCCCTGGACACTATGGGCAATTTAGCATGGCCAATCCACCTAACCTGTGTGTCTTTGGACTGTGGGAGGAAACTGAAATGCCCGGAGGAAACCCACGCAGACGCAGGGAGAATGTGCAAACTCCACACGGATAATCGACCAAGGCTGGAATCAAACCTGGATCCCTGGTGTTGTGAGGCAGCAGTGCTAACCACTGAGCCACTGTGCCGCTCAGTTTTGGGGAGATTCATGGAGAGTCTTCCTCCATGATCCCCATCGTGTTTTCTTACGCAGTTCTGTGTTTGCACTGTCATGTTTTCACCAGTGGCAGAAGTGCTGACCACTGCTGGGATCTTTCAGGATTTCCAGCACCACATGTAAAGCTCAGCTGTGCATTAGATCAAGCACTGCCAGCCAGGAACTGTACATGTAGTGTACACTGTACATGTAGTGGGAGGGAAATTTAAAAAAAAAAGCTTCTGAGAGCACATGGGTAGCACAGAGTTCACATGTGTGAATATATTAGGTATTTTATATCAGGACCTATCTAATCAATAGTCATTTAACTGCAGCTACCAGAATCAAGATACTCAGGCTAACTGTCCTTTAAATCATGTTGGAACCCTTTCTAAGAGCCACTCTTTCCCTATAGCCCAGCTTGGCATAATATCTTGTCATCGTTCAATGATGGAGCATCACATGCTGGAAAGCCTTCAAAAGGTTGAAAACATTAACGTCAACTGAACATCAACAGTAGCTAAGAAAAAACCAACATAAAAAGTGCATTTGCTCCTGGAAACAAAAAGGCCTGCTTGTTTATAAAGCCACATCAAATTTACACTCCATAAGTAATCACTACACCCAGCTCACATCTATTGGACTGGGTTTCAATTATGTCCTGTCTGGCTTGTTATGCCTGACACTACAGCACTTAATCACGCTGAAGATATTGTTTCTACTTGAAAGACTGCTGCTGCTCCTCAGATCTTCAGAGTCTATCACATCCTTTTTTTGCCTGCTGTAGCTGAGCACAGCACATTAGGATCATATGGTACACTCGAGTGCACTGCAAGGTCTCCTCGGACCAATCCAAGTATCAGAACCTATCATCAGCTCCACTTGCTCCCTGTCGGAAAATGGGCTGCATTGTATCTATGATAAAAAGGTGTAGAGCTGGATGAACACGGCAGGCCAAGCAGCATCAGAGGACCAGGAAAGCTGATGTTTCGGGCCTAGACCCTTCTTCAGAAAATACTTGGATTGGCCTGAGGAGACCTTGCAGTGCACTCAAGTGTACCATATGATCCTAATGTGCTGTACTCAGCTACAGCAGGCAAAAAGAGGATGTGATAGACTCTGAATATCTGAGGACCAGCAGCAGTCTTTCAAGGAGGAACAATATCTTCAGCGTGATTAAGTGCATTGTATCTATGTCAGTCTCAGTGAGGTGTTTGTATAATTGAGTCATTAGCCACGGTGGCAAAGGGTAGCCCTTGTCTCCTAGTAACCATCCTTAAAAGGCATCCGGCCCTAGCCAGATCTCGCTGTATGTTCCCAACTGAAATGCCTTTGCCTGTGTTTTTGAAGGACTGTAAAAATCCAGCTCACAACCTTTGTGATCCATATGGCACCATCATGATAGATGAGTTCCATGCTGGTATCACTCAATTCAATAATGTAACTTTGCTGCATGAACTTAATCTCCTCCCTCACTTGAGGAATTTCTCTGGGTTGAATCTGTAAGTTTGTCATTTTTAATGACAATGCATTCCCTACATTAGCATCATGTATTGTGAAAGACATTTTTCTTAGCTGATTTACACAAATCGGTCTGAGTCTTTAATATCTGTTGTTTGACCCTTCAGTAGTTTTCCATGATGTAGAATATCATGCTATCTAGCTTTTCACACCCCTCAGTAATATCCAATCTGATTACTGGAGTGTCAACTTTTGAATATTTAATTTCTGATTCCTTCTCAAATTGTTCTTATTTTTATTTCACTCCCTGTTTCTTTCACTACTGTAAATACACTTCTGTTCTTATTATCTGTTCTGTTCTGATTATTTTTTTCCTCCTGTCTGGAGTACTTACTACATAATTCATATCATTGAGTTCCTTTTCAATCTGATAAGGTCCAGTAAATCTTGCTTTTAATGGTTCCTAGAGTTGGATAGTAACACTATTACCTTGTCTCCAGCAACAAAATTTTGAGCTTTGGCCTTTTGTCTACTGTTGTTTCCATTATTTGTTAAGCACTATTCAAATACTTTTTGTTCAATTCACAAATCACAACCATTAGTCAACCATATACCATATATATGTCAGACTATCTTTGACTCTCCAACCAGGATTTTAAAAAAAACTGTTCTTGGGATTTGAGCATCATTGGCAAGAGCAGCAATTATTGCTTGTCCCTAGTTACCCTCGAGAAGGTGATAAGCCACCTTCAAATACACAGCATATAAATTTAAGTACAACCCCAAGGCACAGCATATAGTCAGACTTTTAATGTTTTGCTGTAGACTATAATTAAGTCACTTTCTTTAGAGCCACTAAATATTCATTGCTGTTTGAAAAGTTTGCCAAACATGACAAAATGATCATTATCAATTTTTTAAAAATTGTATTCCAGATGGGTACTTGTGTGGCAGAAAGGTTACCAAGAATTTGATTCCACCATTGGCTCGGTTACAACCAAAGTAAAAGGTGTTGCCATCACAAATTCATCTCCACATGAAGAACACATATGGGATGCAGCTGATTATGTTATTCCTTCACAGGTATGGTTTTGAATACCAAAAACTTTGAAAACCACATTTTCTTATGATGATCTGTTACCAAAAATATATTGTTTCTTAACATTGCATGAAACGAGTGCTCACACAATGCTGAAATGAGAGATTTGAGCTGCAAAAGCCAGAGAGATTGAGGGAATTAGCTTTTCTTGTGTGTTGTTTTCTCTGGGATAATCAATTCATTATTTTCTTCACCTTGAACTTGTCTATTCATTTTATTATGTTTGCAGTGGGATATTAACTACATTTCATCCTCTGGTAGCTTTGTGTGTTATGCTGAGGAGAGAGGCAAGAGAAGTGGGGGTTATGTTTCATTCTTGGAGGGCATTTCTGTCTCCTTGCTGTGTGTTTTTGCTTATAAATTTTTGAAAGTGCAGAATTCCTTGTCACAGAGTGCTGTGCAGGTTGGGTTGTTAAGCATATTCAAGGCTGAGATAGACCGATTGTAATCAGTAAGGGAATCAAGAGTTATGGGAAAAGGCAGGTAAGTGGAGTTGAGGATTATCAGATCAGCTCTGATCTTATTGAATGGTGGACCAGACTCGATGGGCTGAATGGCCTATTTCTGCTCCTCCCTTTTCAGCTCTTGTGGTGTAGTTTTTAATAATAACCTTCTGTAGTTATTTACATCATTGATCCTAAGCAGTAAAAATATTTTCTGTTTGAAATAGTTACTAAAGTGAAAGCTTTATTAAAGTGCAATTTTTGGTATGAAAATACTTCTTAGAAATTCAAACATTGCTATTTCTTTACATTATGTATAGTTGAACTTTTTTTTTCTCACTTAACAGCAAGAGAACGCCTTCTTTGTTATGACTAATGTTATTCTTACCAAGAATCAAATGCAAGGTCGGTGTGCTGAGGTAAGAATTCAGCAGCTATTCTGCATACTTAATTGCTGTGATAGGTTTAACAACTAAACATGTAAATTCACATGAATGTTTGCAATCTGGACAGAGCTTATACCATAGTCATTTTGTAATTGACCATCTAATCATATCACATTTAAATCAAATCAGTTGCACTCTTATGATACATCAACCTATTTATTCCATCCTTGTGGTTTCATCAGATAAAATGTATATTTATCTGATGAAACCACAAGTATGGCATAAATAGATTAATGTACCACAAGAGTGCAACTGACTGAGTGTATATAAGTATACTTAAATAGCTATAAGGTACACATCTTTATCAGAAAGGACAACCACAAACAATATCAGAAATCCCATTTTTAAAACACCCTTCGTTTGAGTGCTCTTGTTTTCCCTTCCTGTGCTGGCGCAAAATTGAGATACCCCCCCCTCTCTGTTTGTTGTTTTCAATGTATTTTCAAAGTTATTATTCATGGGAACATATGAGCAGAAAGAGTCCATATGGCCTTTGTGATCTGATACTGCCTCATCTTAATTTTACATACCTTTGTTCTACAATCCCTTGATATCCTTGCCTAACCCATTGGTTTCAACCTTAAATTGTAATTGAGCTAATATCTGCAGCTGCTAGGGGGAGTGAATTCCAGATTTTCGTTATCCTCTGCGTGAAAAAATGCATTTTAATTTCCCTGCTAAATGGCCAACCTCAAACTTTGAGTTCACATTTGCAGGAGAAAGAGGTTTGTTAGTGTATATGGAGCTACTGTCATTTGAAACAGTTCTTAGATCATCCCTGAACCTACTAAACTCAAGGGAATACAATCCTGAGAATGTGTATTCTATCCTCACAAGTTAACCCTAATTTCCTGTTATAATTTGAGTGAATCTGCATTGTGCTCCTTCCAAGGCTAATATATCCTTCCACTTATAATAGTTTTGTCCACTTGCTTTGCCTGTGTATGTCATTTCTTTAATACCTGGCCATTTGCTTCATTTAAATACTCACTTTAATTACTCATTTCACTATTTTAATTTTATTAAATGCAGTAAATGTACTTGTTCATAGGTCCCTGATACCCTTGATATTTTGTTCTGTTTCTTCACTGAGAATGGATGCAAATTATTCAATTAACAAAACTGCTATTTCCTTATTATCCTTCGTCGTCTCACCTGCATTCCCTTTACCACTTGAATTTTCTTAATATATTTATACAATTTTTGCTGGTAGCTTTGGCAGTTTTTCTCAAACTTTCCTGTTTGAATTATTTTCTTTGTAATCCTTTATTGCTTTTTACAGTTCTGCCAGTCACAGGTTTTCCATTTCCCTTCGCATTTACGTCCGTTTCTATTCCTTTTTAGCTTGCCCCTGTATCTTGCCTCACTTGTTGACTATGGATGCTTAACCACTAAAGTTGAGGCCATGTTTTTTTTTGAGGGGTATGCATTGGTTTTTAATAATTTCAAATACTTATTTGAACACTTTCCACTGTTTGTTTGTAGGTTTACCCACAACAGTTGTGCTTGGTATCCTGTGATCAATTTATTGAATTCCATCAAAATTTGTAATACTTAAATCTTGGCTTGTGATTTTCCTTCTCAAACTTGATATCAACTTAAATCATACGGTCACTGTTTGGTAGATGCTCCCTAATTCTTAAGCTAATGTTGGTTGGTTACTTATCGCTTAATCCAGTTTGTTTCTTACCATGTCGGTTACATTGTTCTTGAAAAATGTGTCTAATACTTAACAGAAATTAAGAGAGCTACTTGAGCTGCTTTGTTCCTCCCAAACTGTGAAAATTAAATTCTCTCATTCGAACAGTTTGGCCCTTACTAACCTTAAAGAAATTAAGAAATAGGAGCAAGAATAGACCAAATTTCCATTCCACAACCCCCACTCCTCCAAGTCCCTTCCATCATTCAATATGATCATAATTGACCCAGTCTCAACTCCACTCTCTGGCCCACTCTCCATATTGTTTCATAAGTCAGGAGGTGGAACAAATTGATCTATTTCTTTGAGTGTCATGGATTTAAAATATTGTTGGTTCTGTCAGCTGCTGTGGTGCAACTCGTCACAGCCATCAAAGTGTGAACAGAGTTTTCAGGGCAGAGGTTTCGATGTAGGTTGGTCTGATGTTTCCTCAGTATGATCGAAGCTCTTAATATGAAAAGATTTTTTTTTTTTGTAAAACGTCAACCAGGTAGGGAAAATTTAAGAAATAGCATAATTTTAATAAGCTTGAGTTAACATAGCACGCAGGAGTATGTGGTCTACTAACTGCCTACTTCATTTGTTTTAAGACTGTATCTCTTGTTCTGGATTTGCCACCTCTCAATTTTCTGAGCTGCAGAGAAAATAGGCTCAATTTACACTGGCAAACTTCGCACCTCAGTTTTATTGTTGCTTTTGTCAAATTCTGTATTTTACCCTGATTTGCTTGTTACTCTTAGGTTACTTTAATTTCTAAACCCCCAAGACCTATGAATTTGGCTGATAACATAGTTGGTCCTTCTGATATGAACTGTGGGTCCAAGAGCCAGGTTAATGGTTCCTGACCCTCCTTCCGACTGCAGACCCTTCCAGACCAAGATCACTATGATTTAACTGGAACATTTATAATCCCCAACACGACTGGTCCATCTGGAGTTGATTATAGGCCTGAGTCAGAGTGATTGGTCTTGACCCTTCTCCACCTATCGAGCTTCAATTCTGCTGCTTTTTATAGTGAAACCTATATCATATCAAACCTATCACAACCACATGAAACATTTTCCTGTTAATTAGAATGTCTGAGAGCTAATCCTCCTTGGTGTATTTCATAGACAGTCCAGCATGTACGATCAGTGAAACAATGCAGTCAAAAACAATCCAGACATCTAACAAGATCGTAGCTGATCTGCCCCAGACTTCAACTCCTCCATCGTTGCTAGCTCAGAAGTTCATCATAGCCCTCAATTCCCTGCCATTGCAAAAAAAAATCTTCCTCTTTAAATACTTGCAGTGATAGATCCTGCACAATTCTTTGGGGAAGAGAATTCCAGACATATAATACCCTCTGGGAGAAGAAATTCCTTCGCATCTGAGTTTTAAATGAGTGTCTCCTTATTCTGTAACTATGTCCCTTTGTTCAAGACTTCCCCACTGCTAATGGAAACCAATATTCCCTGTAAGCCGCAAGGCTACATGAGTGCACAGCCATTCTAATGCTCCATGCATGGCAATCTTCTGGTTCTGGAAGTCTTTGCTGTGTATGGGCTTTGGTGGGCTGCGCAGTTCGTTTTAAAAACATTAGAGGGAACGCTGATGGAAATATCTTCTCAACATCTATTCTGTCAAGCCCCCTCAGAATCATATTTCAAAAAATCACCCCTCATTCTTCTAAACTCAGATGAATAAAGGCCTAACCTGTTTAGCTATTCTTGATAAGTTAACCTCTTCAAACAGGAAAAAGCTGGGTAAATCCGATAACTCCATTTCCCTGCCTTTTCCTCAAATCTCTCGATTCCCTTGCTGATTAAAAATCTCTTTGCTCAGCCTTGAATATTCTTAACGACCACCTTCAACACCTCTGTGTGATAAAGAATTCCACTGATTCACTACCGTCAGAGGAAAATATTTGTCTTGAATGGGAAACTCTTTATGCAGAATCTTGTATGTTTCAACAAAGTTGTCTGCTATTCTTTTAAATTTCTATGAGTACAGGTCCCACCTACTCAATGTCTCGTAGGAAAAACCATCTATACCTAGCATCAATGTAGTGAACCTTCTCAGGATTGCCACCAATGCCAGTATATCTTTCTTCAGATAGGGGTTCAAAACTGTTCACAATATTCCAGGTGAGAACTAATACCTAGTGTAGTGCTAGCAATTTTCATTTTTTATTTTTTTTGTATTCTGGACAGGTTGCACCTGAACTGGAGGGACACCAATATTCTGGGCGGGAGGTTTGCTAGAGCTCTTTGGGAGGGTTTAAACTAGTTTGGCAGGGGGATGGGACCTGGAGTTACAGATCAGAGGATGGGGTAGCTAGTGTACAGACAGATAGAGCAAGCAGAGAGTCTATGAGGAAGGATAAGCAGTTAATAGGGCAAAGTGGCAGTCAGTGCAACGGGTTGAGGTTTGTCTACTTCAATGCAAGAAGTGTCAGGAATAAGGGTGACGAACTCAGAGAGCATGGATCAGTACTTGGAACTACGATGTTGTGGCCATTACAGAGACTTGAATAACACAGGGGCAGGAATGGTTGTTGGATGTTCCGGGGTACAGATGTTTCAAAAGAAATAGGGAGGGAGGTAAAAGAGGTGAGGGGAGTGGCATTGCTAATCAGGGATGGTATCACAGCTGCAGAAAGGGAGGTCGTGGAGGAGGGTTTCTCCACTGAGTCAGTATGGGTGGAAGTCAGAAACGGGAAAGGAGCAGTCACTTTATTGGGAGTTTTCTACAGACACCCCAGTAGCAACAGAGACACTGAGGAACAGATTGGGAGATGGATTTTGGAAAGTTGTACAAGTAATAGGGTTGTTGTCATGGGCAACTTCAACTTCCCTAATATAGACAGGAACCTCCTAAGTGCAAATAGTTTGGATGGAGCAGATTTTGTCAGGTGTGTCCAGGAAGGATTTCTGATTCAATATGTAGATAGGCTGACTAGAGGTGAGGCCATTTTGGATTTGGTGCTTGGCAACGAATCAGGTCAGGTGTCAGATCTCTTGACGGGAGAGCATTTCGGTGATAGTGTTCACAACTCCCTGACTTTTACTATAGTCATGGAGAGGGATAGGAGCAGACAGTATGAGAAAGTATTTAATTGGGGGAAGGGGAATTACAATGCTATTAGGCAAGAACTACAGAGCACCAATTGGGATCAGATGTTCTCAGGGAAACGCACGATAGAAATGTGGAGGTTGTTTAGGGAGCAGTTACTATCGGTACTGGATAGGTTTGTCCCACTGAGGCAAGGAAAGGATGGTAAGGTGAAGGAACC